GTTAAGCAGGTTGTTATGAGTAAGACCGGATGCGTCCACTCCAACGGACTGAGCTCCAATTTTTGGAGTTGCACCTCCAATAGCGTAAGCACTGATCTGCACAGCGGTTGGGATGCCGTTCGAACACGCGCTTACCATATTTGTCATAGGGAGACCTTTCAAGTTACTTGGTCCATTCGATAAAGCTTTATGACCAGTGTGCGACGAACTGTTACCTGAGTGACTATCGGACTGGCCAGATATGGCGATTCCGCTCGTATGCTGATTGGACACGGCGAACGAATGAGCAGGACTCGAAACAACTGACCACGTCTGCAATCGACCATACAACTCGCTGAACTGCGGTCTTCGAGAAGGTGTTTCGTGCCAGCACTCAACCATTAAACTGTACATTCGTGGGGGACAGTTTTCAGGACACTCTAACAGACAACGATGCCGGATCATTTCAATCACTTCCTGATTGTTGTAGCAACAATATGGCTGAGTGCCGTAACTGTAAATTTCCCATAGCGTTACTCCGAACGACCAGACGTCGGACGCTTCGCTGAAACGACCGTAGATCAATCCTTCAGGGGACATCCAGCGAATCGGGAGCAAAGTCTTCGACTGAACCCTGTAGTAATCCGACGTATATACATCTCTAGTCAAACCGAAGTCAGCTATTTTGATAGTCAGTCTGTCCGTGACTAAACAGTTCCTGGTTGCCAAGTCTCGATGAATGTAATGGCTCATCGCTAAGTACTGCATCCCAGCTGCAATCTTAAACAGGACTAAAATTACAATTAAAATTTATAAGATAATCGAAACATGCCTGGGTTGCAATGTGAAGAAAATCGCTTTGATCAAGCATCACTCGCTCCTTGTCCATCACACCGCTTTCGGTAAAAGGAGCACGAAGCAGAAGAAACTCGTGCAAATCGCCATGCATCCTGAAAATTAAAAATAATATAATCTGCACTTTATATACCACGCACCCAGGCAAAGCTCACATGAATTCGAAGATCATGCATTTAAGCTGGCCTGTACGACATATGCCGATCAACTCGACGACGTTAGGATGGCGAAAACGGGCCATCAGTGAAGCTTCCTGTTCGAAGTCAACCTTCTGTACCGGCAGGGCATCCTCTTTCAGCGTCTTGATTGCCACCTGGACCGGCTCATCGTCGCTGTTATAGCCGATCAGCTCGCCTCGCCACACCTTGCCGAATTGGCCTTCGCCGAGCTGCTCCAAAAATTGAATGTTACACGCTGGCACTTCCGGTGGCATGTTCGGTATGCTGTCATAAGGTACAGCATTCGCCGGTAAAAGTGAAAACATTTCCACCTGAAGAGAAGAAAGTATTATCGAACAGCGTTAAAATATAACGGCGGTTTGCTGACGATTTCGAGAAATTTTTCCGACGATCAGATGTGAAACTTTAAATTGACGAAGTTCTTAGTAAATTTAGAATCTAACTAAAAGTACGATACAAAGAAATGGTGGAAGAATCGAATGATGGGATAAAAGATGGCGACTTTCTTTCTAGTGATCCATGCTGTTGCACGGTCGAACAAAAATGTTATCGTTGTGTGACTACAAAACATCCATCAGCATCTCGTGGTCACAAGAATATCCGTAAATCGTCTGAAACGAAAGTCAACAGCATCGGAAATATGCCACCAGAATGATACTTTTTGTGACAAAGCATGCAATAAAAAATAGTTTTTGCTAAAGAGGAACAAAACTTTAAAAAATGTGCCTTTTCAGGCAACCCGTGCTCCGATATAGACCGAAAGAACGGAAAAGATTGCTTGCTTCCTCATTTTGTTTCCCTATGTACTGTTCTGCACGCAGATTTTGCGGCTTGGTGGCTGAGTACCTAAGAAGTTGCCTTTGAACACCGAAGATGCTGGATTTGAATCCGCTTAAAGACCTTTGCTTTAGCCATACATTCGCTTGAGTAAGGAACTGACTTTCTTGTGAATCCGACCGGCAAAAAACCCAGGGGACGGCCAAGATTAACCTGGTGCAAAAATAAAGAAGGAGTCTGTTTGAGACTCCAGTTGTCGTCTGCCAAAGCTCAGACTCTGGCAGAGAATCGGGAAAGTTGGAAACTCTGTCTGACGCGATCCGAAAGAAGAAGCGGCGACGGAAGATGAAGATGAAGGAACTGACTCCATGCTGCTTCAACGCAACCAGTCGAGAAAGTCGGTGACGTGAATAACAGAGACAGTATGGTAATTTGGTCTGATCAAGTTAGAATGGACAAAATGTGCAACTGCGCTGTCTGATTTGAGCGCCTTTGTGCCTGTAATCAGCATAAAGTGTAACCCAGCCCCATTTGGACATGATCATTGTTTTCTTCACACCACTGATGCTATAAAAATAATAGTACTTCTGAAATCTGATGTTCTCCTGTTTATCGAACTGCTACGTTTTCCAATATCGCATCATACAATCATTCAATTATAGACATTGGCCCTCAACTACAGTTTTGCAGTAAACAACGTAAGAGTTTTTTCAACACTTTCTTTACAGTTCTTCTTTACACTTCTAAAAAAGTCGCCCCCCGAACTTTATTTACAACTTCTTTCAGATCGACATGTCCTTTTCGTCTCAGATGTATCACAGAAGTTGAAATACCATTTAAAGTTTGCCTAATTAACCCCTGGCGGTTAGGAACACAAAGACACTACCCCGAAGCCATATACCCGGGTTTCGTTAACTATGCCTATTACAGTATGATTATATACAAAGCAAAGCTTTACCCATAACTTGTTTTTTCACATGTGTATTAACGCCTCCTCGCTTTAGAGTAGTTCAGAGAACGAGGTCACTACGCGAAAAAGGCTAGTCGTGTCTTAAATTCGAATTCATTCACCAAAAGAGTGAGAAGATATGAAGCTTATTGTTCCATCAGTGATAATATCTGCATACAGGTAACAATAAATCTAACAGTCGAACGTTTAGTGCAGAGCAAATCCAACGGATCTGATTCAGGTAGTCACTACGGTGCTGATGCACACAACGAGTATTATCAAGCATCATGGATATATGAACCGTATTGGTGAAGGCTTCGAAAAATTTGATGTGGGATTTAACACAAGTTGACACTGTTTTTGACTGTAAAGTAATTAATTTACGAGAACCGTGCATTTATGCCAGTGGTATCATCACATGACAGATGACTAATTCGTACCTGTTGCTGACCATTATCCTGTTTGGAAAGATGAATCGCTTCGCATTTTGCTGACCGCTTCGATGACGCCGCTTTTGCCTTGCGAGATCGACAGCAATATATGATCAAACTGAGCAACAGTGCCAGAAGGATCACGGCAATGATACCAGTACCGATCAAAGCGTACCGGAAGTAGCTAACCGGAACGTTGGACAGTCCAAAGTGACTAGAATCGTCACTGCTACCACTGCCGCCGCTGCCGGTCCCTCCAGTTTCCACAGTCAACAGGTCCGGATACATGCCGGGAGGGCACTTCGAGATTTCGCAGTATTCTTCTGCACCGCGCTCTGTGAAGCACCAAGGTTTTGGTTTACGACCGCCAGGATTTCGGCAAAAGTTATGACCTTAATTATTATTTGATCAAGTCGTAAAAACGTAATCCACATTTAAAATTCTTAAACGTACCCATCAGTTCTGGAAAGAACACTGATCGATACTGAGGGAAACGATAACTGGCCTGAGCCCAGTTTTGACATTTGGACTGAGACTCCGTCGTGGATAATGTTCCGCGATATGTCTTGCCACTGCCGACGTAACATAGGTGTGCTAAAAAACAACTGCCAATTAAATCTTATGGTAAAATTGCGACCGCTTCGTCAGCGTATTAAACAAATGTTTTCAGTAAAAATTGCATACATTATTTTTAATTTAATTGTAAAATCAGTCATCAGATTTAATAAAGCACTGTGTTCATTTGGCTGGCATTAATTGTTTGTCATAGATAGACTGAACCAATTAGTCCTGCGCATTTTAACGGCATTTTTACTCATTTTGCCTATTTCTGCATTTAACTGACGCCAACCTTTCATTTTATGGCTTGTCCGTTTTGTTTCGACAAAGAATCCATTGACTGATAACATGACCACGATATGTTGGTTCGATGGTGCCATTGACCTTATAGCTTTTGTACACCGAGAGCATCACTAATGTTTAAAGTACCGTGCGATTATTATGTTCTAACAGTATTCTTGACGTTTAGAAGATGAGAAACATAATAAATGTCGCAATCGAAATACGACCGGCATGATCGCAGCGTATCTGCTCAAATTCACACATAACTACATGATTACACAGAAATCAACGTGACATAGGAGACTGAGCCCAGAAAAACAGCTGCTGGGAGGACAGGCATCTGTCACACTCTTGTACTTTCATCTTCATCTTCCATCGCCGCTTCTCCTTTCGGGTCGCGGAGGCAGACGCACCAGACAGTGCTTCCAACGTTCCCGATCCTGTGCCAGAGTCTGAGCTTCGGCAAAAGACAAATGCAGTCT